GGAGGCGACAAAGGCGACTTTTTCATCCTAGATTTTCGGCGTGGGTATTATGATCTCTAGGAATTTGGAAAACTTTCACTTTTTCCAACTTTTTCATCCTAGATTTTGCCTTCTCATGATATGCCTTCATTCTGCTATCCCGGACCTTGAAGTCCCCATTTACCTGGTTCACGACCAGTTGGGAATCGCAAAAGATCCGAAGGTGTCTAACCCTAATCGAGCATGCAGCATCCAGTCCTGCCAGCAACACCTCATACTCGGCTTCGTTATTGGATGCCTTGAATTTTAATCTGATTGCTCTTTCAATGATGAACCCTTCTGAGTTTACTAGCACAATACTTATCCATGCCCCCTTTCTGTTCGAGGATCCATCAACATGAAGATCTCAAACGTCTCCTGTTAGATCCAGTAACGTTGGTGGGGGCTCAGACACAGAGAACTCGGCGACAAAGTCCGCCAGGACTTGTCCTTTTATTGACGTTCGAGGCTTGTACCTAATTTCAAACTCTCCGAGCTCTACAGCCCATTTGGCAACCCTCCCGGACATATCGGCTCGGTGAAGGATCGGCTTGAGAGGTCGGTCTGTAAGGACGTCTATGGCGTGAGCCTGGAAGTAATGTCGAAGTTTCCTCGTCGAGATTATCAATGCCAAGACCGATTTTTCCATTGGAGAGTATCTTGTCTCGGTGTCAAGCAAGGTTTTGCTTATGAAATATACGGGTTTTTGGGCTCCTTTGCTATCCCTGACCAATGCTCCACTCACGGCGTCTTGAGATACGGACAAGTAAAGGCTAGGCACCTCCCCTGTCGCCGGAACAGATAAAGTCGGAGGATGTTTCAAGTAGTCCTTGATCCCTTCAAGAGCTCGACCGCATTCCTCGTCCCAAACCCCCTTAGCTGCCCCCCTCAACTTGGCAAAAAATGGTTTGCACTTATCGGATGACTTGGAAATTAATCTGTTAAGGCTGCCAACATCCCGGCCAATTTCTGAACATCCTTAATGGTCCTAGGCGCCCGGAAATTCTAGATTGCTTGTATTTGCTCGGGGTTTGCCTCGATTCCCCGATAAGCAACCAAATATCCCAAAAATTTTCCTGAGCTCACACCAAAGGCGCATTTCGAGGGGTTTAGTTTTAGGCTATACTTCTGGAGGATGACGAATGTCGTCCCGAGATCATAGAGATGGTCGGCCCCCTCTTTGCTTTTGACCAACATGTCATCAATGTACACCATCGTTTCGTCGAGCTGGTCTTTGAAAATTTTGTTCATCAAACGTTGGTAAGTCGCCCCAACATTCTTCAACCCAAAAGACATCACCGTGTAACAGTAGATTTCTCGGGGCGTGATGAACGCCGTTTTCTCCTGATTTGATTCATGGAGGGGAATCTGGTGATATCCAGCCCGAGCATCCATAAAGGTGATGCGCATGTGGCCGGCTGTGGCGTCTACTAGCTGATCAACCTTAGGCAAGGGGTACTCGTCCTTGGGGCAAGCCTTGTTTAGGTCCGTGAAATTCACACAAACTCGCCATTTCCCTTCTTTCTTCTTGGCGCACACGGTATTGGATAGCCAGTGGGGGAACTGTGCCTCCTTGATGGAACCTGCTCCCAACAACTTATCCACCTCTTCATCCATAGCCTTCGCGTGATGAGGCGCCGTTCTCCGGGCCTTTTGCCTAACGGGTTTGAATGAGGGATTCACATGGAGTCGATAAGTCATCACCTCGACACTTATCTCCGTCATCTCGGCCTAGGTCCACACAAAGATATTGGCATTGTGGCGTAAAAATGAGGCCATATCATTTCTCTCTGCGTCGTTGAGTGACTCCCCTATCAAAAAATACTTTTCATTGCTATCTGGGCTCAGGAGAATCTTCACCAAGGCCTTAGTAGGCCGGTCGGCCGGCTCTGTAATGGGCTCGTCCACTCTCGGACAACCACTCTGTGATTGCTATTTGGCAACCACCGCATCGGGATCACGTTCCTGACTCTGGCCGCTGATACCCTTTTTCACTGCGGCACAGAAACAGCTTTTCACCGACGCCTGATCACCCCGGATTTTTATTATGCCTTGCGGCGTTGGAAACTTTATTTTCTGGAGATAAGATGAGTGAACCGCCTTTATTGCATGCAACCACGATCTCCCCATAATAGCGTTGTAAGGGGAGTCAAAGTCCATTACTATAAATTCTACTGGCATGGTCACCACCCCCGCCCATACCAGGAGGGTGATTTTTCCAAGGGGAAGGGTGCTGGAACCATTGAAACTGATGAGGGGGGTTTTTACGGGTTCCAGATCCCCCTGAGAGAGTCCCATCTCATGGAAGAGGTGATCGTACATTACCTCGGAAGAACTGCTTGAGTCCACCAAGATCCTCTTGACGTCGAACTTTTTGACCCGCAAAGTGATCATCAATACATCCTCGTGGGGGAGGACTACCCCACCGAGATCAGCATCGAAAAACTAGATAATGTCGGCACCACTCCGCGGCTTCTTAGGCGGCCGCTCATCACCCCTTTCTTCCACCCTGACCGCTTGAGAGACCCTTTGTAACTCGGCGTGGAGGGAGTTATATGTAGGCCTCTTCACTGTGCAGGCATGAATAACATCAATCACGGGTGCTACCTCAGTTGGCACCTCGGCTCGCTCCCTTGTCGACCCGCCGGGACGACCCCTATCAATGATTCCCCGAGGTGTCCGTCTCGCACCAATTGTTTGAGGAAGGATTTATAAACCTTGCAATCCTCCGTCAAATGACTGATATCTCTATGATACGAACAATGGAAGGCCGCATTCCTTGTCGACGAGTCTCCAAACATCCTCGGGGGCCACTTGAAGTAAGATTTGTTTTTGATTTTTGGGAAGCATCCTGTGAATGGGCTTGTTGAAGACCGTGTTCACTCTTTGGAAGGATAGGCGAGTTGGGGGTGGAATGGGCCTCCCTTGCGGGCCGGCTGCTCCCTTTCCTTTTTTCTCAGCACCGTGGCCCTGCTTTCGGGCGCGGCTGATTCTTCCTCCATTCGCGCATATTTGTTAATCCAAGCCATCAAGTCTTTCATGTCTGCCAGAACCTTCTTAGTCAGTGATTTGTACAAATTAGTGTCCTGGGACAGCCCCAACCTAAATGACGCCGCGACCAATGCCTCTGAACATGCCTCCACCTTGTTCACTTCATCCTAATACTAGACGGCATATTGTCGAAGTGTCTCTCCCCCTTTTCGCCTAAGCGTCAACAGAGTGCCAATGTCCTTTGGTTTCTTACTGCTGGTGATGAATCGAGCTATGAAGAGCTCCGTCAATTGTTTCCAGGACCTAACGCTCTCGGGAGCAAGGTTCTTATACCATCTCATGCCCGTGTCTCCTAGGCTTATGGGAAAAACTTTACATAACATCCTTTGGTCAGTATCATAGATTGACATCAATTGTTTGTATTGTCGAAGGTGGTTCTCGGGATCGGTTTTCTCATCATAGACTTTGAACCGTGGGACGGTAAACTTCTTCGGTATCTCGGCCTCCCTGATAGCTCAGACGAACGGTGAGATAACTTCGTCAGAGTAGACCTCGGGCTCATGGTTGCGCTGAGCGATGAAGGGGACCCTGGGATCCTTTTTTGATCTTTCTCCTCGAGGCCTTTGAGGTATGGACTCCGCTTGTGATTTGGCGGCTCCGACGCCCTCGGGTATCCCTCGGCGCAGGTCCCACCTGGACAGGCTTGCCTTCTGGCCTGATTCCGACTTCCCCTTGGAGGCCGAGAACCCTCCTTGGCGGTTACGTCCCTTGGGTGAGTGCCTAATCCAATCTTTCCTGGAGGGCCACTGCCAGGGGGGTCTGGACAGGTTCTGGCTAGGCACTTGGTCCCCGAACCCGCGACTACGCTCACCCGCGCTCGCTGATTGCTCAAAATCATCAAGACGTTGTTGGACTTTGGCGTTTTCTCCTTCAAGCTGCTTAATGCGTTTGCCCATCCGTTTTTCCACCATCTCAACGATATCTTGGGCCATGAGGTCACGCCCCCCAAGGCCTTGATCCATAGGGAACGTTCTTTGCGAAGAATGTTCTACCCCATCTGATTGGCCCAATGAACCCGGCTCCAGAACCATTAAAGCTGGACGGGCTCTGCGTTCCTGGCCCATACACCTGCTCCCTCACCCTGAGATCGAGTGTTCACCATTAGACGATCGCTACCGGGAAAATTGTCTTCGTTCCCACAGACGGCCCCAAATTGCACGGGATAATTCCTGCAATAGTATGAGGCAGCAACCTCCAAGTTGACGAACCTGAAACAACAGGGTCAGAAAAAAGGGGGCCAGGCGAGTGCCCAACTAATCCCCTCCGAAGCTTAAGTCAGTATAAGGTCGAAGGGTTTTGCTCAATGGACTATTTTTCTGGTTCAAGTTTGCGTATCTTTGTCCATTTTTTTGAGGAGTATTTATACCTGAATTAGCAATGATTGCCAATAATTTTCAGTCCCATCTGGACATCTTACATCTGACACACCATTTTTTGTGCAATGAGTGTTTTCCACTCACGTCTCCTCCTATTGAATGCTAGGAAAGTGGGGTAAATATTTGGCCAAATGCCGAGCATTTATGCTACTACCCGAGTACCCAAATCCCCTAGATCGGCATCCGACATCAACTGAGCATTGAATACTCGAGGGGAACAGTTCCTCAGGGAGAGCCAATCGCGTCGTCTCAGCGCATCAGCCATTAATGTTTAGCCATCATGACAGTAGGCTTAGACTCCCAGAGGACAGGTATTGGCAGGCGCACAATTATTTGCCTTGTCACTATCACTCATTCCGCCATAAATGGGGGGCACATCGCATTAAATACGATGCCAGCTGTCGTACTCGGTTGCTCCGTGTCACCATACCTCGGTTTACCTGCTCGGCACCCTTTGGATATTCCAACGACTTCATTATTCCACGTGTCAACCCGGGGCTGTAGAGCCACCTAGAGTCCCGCCAAAATTGCTAATCAAATTTCTTTGCTTTGCAGAGACATTGTTGGTAACTACTGGGCAGATTCTCCAAAATCTGTGCTTCCTATCTATCAAGAACTAATATCTGCTGGTCTCAGGATATGGGTATACAGGTGCAACGTCACTCTATTTCGCCTTTCTCCTTTCTCCTTTCACGATATTAGTGCATTTTTTTTCGCCCAATAAGATTTTACAATTCTTTACCCCTAGTTTCTTTAGCAGTTTATATGGTTTTATGGTGTATAGATCCATTTTTGAATAAAGAAAAATTGCAACTCATTCAATTTTGCTAATCCTCTTTACAATATAATTCTGCCATCACACCCACCCCAGAAAAAGAAAATACAAACTAAAACACACACGTACTCAGAAAGACAGAAAATTAGTGTGGTAGGTTTACATTTTGCATCTTGCTTGTAGTCAATATTTTTCTGTTTCATCAAGTATGGTTGTGATTTTCATGGTAATTCTGAACTGTGCTGTGTGAAAACTTATCACCCATACACATCAATTAGCTCCTTGGGAAAAACCTAATACATATCTCAAAGCTTCTTTTTTTTCAATCTTAACTATTAACTAATCAATTTGAATTTAGGAATTATGGGGTTGGGATACTTAACGGAAGACACAAGTTGGTATTTTGCGATAGATAAAATCATTTGAAGATTGTATATCCCTAGCTTTTCTTATTTTGCGTTTTCCTCTCTCTGTTTCTCTAGTTCTTTGGTGTTTCCCGTGGCTGCTATGTGCTTGTAAGAGTAAAGTCAGCTTCGTACTTGCACCTGGAAGTACCTTAGAGCAAATTGACAATAATTTACATTGAAAAAAATCAATCATGTTAATTCGTCTCTTAGAGGTGCATTAACGATTAAAGATGTTTGACGCCTCAAACATATGAATGTGGAAGTAATGTCCTTACAATATTTCTTGATGTACAGAATGCATGTTGAACCATAAGTTCGTAGATTGTTCAATAGGTGCAACATTGCATGGTTGGGGGATGCTTAGACTTGACTGAAACTGAAGTCAATGCATTTTGTAGTAGCATTTGAATCGAGTCTATATTGCTAATTGTCCAATAATCATGAGCTTCTTTTTGTTGAGCAGGAGGACTCCCAAGTATTTTTGTTATAGAATTTTTAAAAGAAATTTGGCATGTCAGTTTGATATAGTACAAAATCAACTTATGCATGCTAACTGCCCTTGATATAGAACCCCTGCGACCCATTTTATGAGATGTTTGAGAAGATAAGGAAGAACTGAGCCACAATTGTAATATTATTCTTCAGTTTTGTTATTGCGTCCGACATCTTATCATATCTTGTGCTTCATGTCTGTCCAGTGGAGATACCGACTCAGTGGTCCCCCTGACTGCAACACGATACTCCATTGATGCTTTGAAGCTTACAACTATTACCAATTGGTACCCATGGTATGACAATGGAAAGGTTAGTTACTCTAATGAGCTGTAATCTTTGAATGCAGCGATTGTGCTCCTCCGCATAAATAAAATACAATGGTTGTTTTGTTAATTATTCTTTCTGCCTCTTTTTCACCGTTGGCGATACACCCTAATGTCTTCATATCTGCTACCATAAAAGAGAAATAATGGATTAATGTAGTTAGGAATCTTTATATCTTCATAATTTGATGGTTAAATCAGGAGTTTTCAAAACTACTACTAAAACAAGGCTTCTAGTCATGTGGCACAATTGTATACTTTTTCTTTTTATAATATAGGTTGGCGGATGGAGCCAAGTGTACAAAGGGTTAACCCTCGTAACAGTAACTGGAGCAGGGCACGAGGTTCCCCTTCATCGCCCTCGACTAGCTTATATTCTGTTCAGATCATTCTTGGAGAACAAGCCAATGCCAAGGTGAACCTTCTTGGTCCAATTTGTCTGATCCACAACATATATGCAAAAGTAGATACACATCGATTTATTGGATGCTGAAAAAGAAAGAAATAAGAGGAGAGCGCCCTCCGAGCAACCCCCCATTCTTGCCAGATATAATGGCACCTTTTTAGTTTTAGTTTGCCATTGATGATTGCCAGGAGATTGTCTGTGAAATGACAATTGCAGGAAGCTCTGGAGCTTGGTCTGCAATTGATTTTTTTTTTTTTTTGTCATTTGAATTCATAAATTATGTATATGACAGTTATTGCGTACGTTTGTTTCTTATTATCCTCATACATTGTCAAAAAATTAGTTCCTGGAAATAGTTTTTGAAGACTTATACTTTTTTTTTGTTAACAGGTTGGATTGATTATGCTTGATCATACATAGAACATCACCATTTTATATCCTCAAGCTTACCTACAACTTAATAAGTTTTCAGTCTGTTCAAATTATCTAAGCCAAAAACATGCTAATTGGTAACAGAGATTTTTAGCCAATGTCTAAAGACTAAACTTTCAAGGGTCCAACCCATAATCATATAAAAAAGTTGGCTTCTTGTAACAATTAAGCAGCAATATTCGTAACACCAAACACAAAAAAAATTTGAATTTTTTTCGGGAGCTTTAGTTGGTTTAGATATTACTTTTTTTTTATATCACATGGTTCCAACTTATTTCATCTGGAAGTGAGAATGAATGTAGGTAGGTCTGTCAATGGATCGAATTCGAATCCGATTAACTGAATATGAATTAATATTTTTTTATCGATAATTTTTACCTGAATTCAATATCTTATATTTCATATATTCGATTCGAATTATTTATATATTTTTATATAAATATTAAAAAATTTAAGTGGCTATTTAAAAAAAATTATTTAAATTTAGTTATAATTTGTTAAACTTTAGGTAATTGAGTTATTTGGATCGGATGTGATTGAATTTCGAATAATTAACGGATTCTAAAATAGATTACAAAAATAAAATCGGTCGGTTTATCATATCAAATTCAAATCTGACTTTTAAAATCGAATTAGAATTCGAATAAGTCACAATTCAATTCAATTCAAACTCAATTCATTTCCACGCCTAAAAACATGACCGTCGAGACTTTACCGTAACTACCCATAAAGTGGACAACTCGTTAACCAGTTGAACAAATCGGTTTCGCTCCTACTTAGTTAAGATAATAAAATCATTCAAATGATTTGGAATCAAAATTCAGAGTGTTCTCCTCAAATTAATCTTTTCTTATCAACTACCGTCGTACATCCACATTCATGACATTTAAATGTTACGAGTATGACAAAAATGAAAAGTCTTGGTAAACTGGTATTATAAAAATTCTATTGATTAATGGGTCAAAAAATCACATGGCCAACTTGGGTGTTCCATGAAGAAAAATTCATGGCGCCATCAATGGGCAGCATCAAAAAAGTCAAAATGGTGCAGAAAAGTAAATTATTATTTTCTCAAAAAAAAAAAGAAGAAGATAAATCTTGATACAGCTCATTTTGATCTTCCAATGATATTATATCATATTTTTATCTATGCCTGTCACTAGTCAGCTAGTTGACTTGTATGAAAGAAGAAAAAGGGATTTCGATTACGGTACGGGAGAAAAAAATTTGGTATTTTATTTTTAAATTTTACTATTTTAATAAATTTTGTGGTTTATTTTATAATTAAAAAATTTATTATTTTTTTGGATAATTTATTATATTTGTCGTAATTATTTTTATTTATTTTTTGATACCATAATAATAATAAAAATATTTACAAATGGAATAAAAATAATTACAAATATGATAAAAATCGATATGGTACCGAAATTTTGTTTTTCGATAAAATAGACGAGTCGAAGATGAACAAGTTTGATCTCTATTCTCCGGTCATTGATTAATTAAACATTAAAAATCACTTAGCCGATTAAATGCAAACCACTCTTATTTATTACACCCAAAAAAAAAAAATCCATATAGTTCACATATGACACGAAATTAGTGGATTCGAGTTAAATATTTTCGCACAATTAATAAATAGGGATTGACATGATTAGTAAGATACCTTTTGATCTGAACATTTTAGAATATATACTAATTTTATTTAATGGTAACTTAATTTTTCATGATTGTAACTTGACGCAAATTAAATTATAAATTAAATGTTACGAAATATAAATTCCCCTAATTAAATGGTTAGTGGATAAACACTAGAGTTTTATTTTTTCGTTATAGAGTGTTTAGAGTTATCCTGACTATTTTCTAAAGTTTAGAGGTTGGTCACTGTGATTTAAGTTGTGTTAGAACACGTCCTTGAAAGCACAAGGGATGCTACTACTTTTATGGAGTGTACCAGATGTCATACTCAATCACTGAATCACCCTAAAGATTTAATAAACAACACTTCATATGGAGTCATGTGAATTATATTAGAGAGCATTTAGCATTAAGAAATGCACACATGCATTACTCCCTCTTGTGTTCTCCACAAAAAAAGTAACATACATGTGACAAAGATCCCTATTTTTGGGGCAATGCAAGTGGCCTCAAGCCACCTTGTTCACACCCCTTACTCTTAACATCCCATACTCATTCACTAATATTTCTTAGAGTTGAGCTAATTACTCTTGAATTTGCTAACAATGAGAGAATACTCCAAGATGTTTTGCTCTCCAATAGGTGTTTTGGGCTTTGTGACCCTGTTTCTCTCTCCCATTGCTGCTGCCACCGCCGGTCACCCCCACCACAAACAGCAGGTGGGAGATAGGATTACGAAGCTTCCCGGACAACCGGAAAGTGTCACATTCTCTCAATACTCCGGCTATGTTACCGTGGACAAGGCCATGGGCCGGGCTTTATTCTACTGGTTAATCGAATCGCCGGCTGGTAAGAAGCCCACATCAAAGCCACTTGTTCTGTGGCTCAATGGTGGACCTGGCTGCTCATCTGTGGCCTATGGGGCCTCTGAAGAGGTGGGCCCTTTCAGGGTTCAGCCGGATGGATTGACGCTGAAATTGAGTCCCTATGCTTGGAACAAAGGTTAGTAATAGCACATTAGGTAACATTTGTATATCTTCTTATCTTGGACTTTGATTGTTCCAATCAAGTGATAGTGACATTATAAATTTTTAGAGATGGTCTAGCGATCAAGTCTGTTTTTTTTGTAAGCAAGAGGTTTCGAGTTCGCTATTTCTTATACTTTCAAAGAGTCAACCATCATTGTTTCTCATGAGACATGTCTTGAAAATTAGATCGAATTACGATGGTTGACTTAGAGTTTGAGAGGTAGTCGAGACAAATTTAAACACCCAATAATATTAAAAAAATAAAAGACCCTATAAAATTGTGAGTCCCCCTCATCTCGTCATTTGTCACAGATATTTGAACCTACCATCCACTTAGAAAATTTAGATGTTAAATGTCATGTCTGAAGTGATGGTTTTGGTCATGCAGAGGCCAACTTGCTCTTCCTTGACTCACCGGCTGGTGTTGGCTTCTCCTACTCAAATACTTCAACCAANGGGCTTTGTGACCCTGTTTCTCTCTCCCATTGCTGCTGCCACCGCCGGTCACCCCCACCACAAACAGCAGGTGGGAGATAGGATTACGAAGCTTCCCGGACAACCGGAAAGTGTCACATTCTCTCAATACTCCGGCTATGTTACCGTGGACAAGGCCATGGGCCGGGCTTTATTCTACTGGTTAATCGAATCACCGGCTGGTAAGAAGCCCACATCAAAGCCACTTGTTCTGTGGCTCAATGGTGGACCTGGCTGCTCATCTGTGGCCTATGGGGCCTCTGAAGAGGTGGGCCCTTTCAGGGTTCAGCCGGATGGATTGACGCTGAAATTGAGTCCCTATGCTTGGAACAAAGGTTAGTAATAGCACATTAGGTAACATTTGTATATCTTCTTATCTTGGACTTTGATTGTTCCAATCAAGTGATAGTGACATTATAAATTTTTAGAGATGGTCTAGCGATCAAGTCTGTTTTTTTTGTAAGCAAGAGGTTTCGAGTTCGCTATTTCTTATACTTTCAAAGAGTCAACCATCATTGTTTCTCATGAGACATGTCTTGAAAATTAGATCGAATTACGATGGTTGACTTAGAGTTTGAGAGGTAGTCGAGACAAATTTAAACACCCAATAATATTAAAAAAATAAAAGACCCTATAAAATTGTGAGTCCCCCTCATCTCGTCATTTGTCACAGATATTTGAACCTACCATCCACTTAGAAAATTTAGATGTTAAATGTCATGTCTGAAGTGATGGTTTTGGTCATGCAGAGGCCAACTTGCTCTTCCTTGACTCACCGGCTGGTGTTGGCTTCTCCTACTCAAATACTTCAACCAATCAAATTACTGGGGACCAGAAAACAGGTCTCTCTCTCTCTCTCTCTCTCTCTCTCTCACACACACACACACACACACACATACACGGGCACACTTGGTTTGCTCTAAATCTCAAAGTAAACTATGTTTAACTAACTTGATGTTGAATATTTTTGTAGCCAAAGATGCCTACACATTTCTTATCAAATGGTTTGAAAGGTTCCCTCAGTACAAGCACAGGCCATTCTACATTGCTGGGGAAAGCTATGCAGGTGTCACCATCACCTTCTTCACCTCACACATCATATTAAAAAGACTTTCTTAACCCATGAAACATGGCTTCTTGGTACCTATTCTCAGGTCATTACATTCCTCAGCTATCCCAAATCATAGCCAGATTCAACAAGGGTATCCACAACCCTATTATTAATTTCAAAGGATTCTTGGTAATTAACATTTCACCAATAAGAACTAAGAGTTTTCCATCAATTTTTTTTTATTTCTCATTTTTTTTTCCTTTTGAAATTTTATGTATGAGCAGTTGGGCAATCCACTTATTGATGATTATTATGATAACATTGGAACATTTGTATACTGGTGGAGCCATGGTTTGATCTCAGACTCTACATATGAGGCACTAAATAATTCGTGTCCTCAAGATTCATTTCTATTTCCACGAAAAAATTGTAACGACGCTCTTATGAGTGCCATATCGGAGTTTGGAGACATCGATCCTTATGGTATTTACGGCAGTCCTTGTTTGGATCTCGGGACCACACTTCATCACAACTTAAGATATCCTTTGGTAAGATCTCGCAACTTTTCCAATATTCAACCATTTAATTTGATTTTGATTGATTGATTGATATTTCTATCATACCTCCATGAAAATTATTGTGCCATGGTGCAAAAGTATCATTGAAATATGTTCTATATTCTTAAATATTTATGAAGTAATGATACACTGATCAAATTTTGAGATCAAATTTAGAGTCCAAATAACATGACAGTTGATTATTTGAAGCTCTTATTGGGGCCCAAATGATATGACATCAATCAAAAAAGACTAAATCAACTGTCATGTTATTTGAATTCAAAATTTGATCTCAAAATTTAGTCAGTCTAGTATTACTGATATTCATGCGGTACAACTTACTATATTTTTAGGTAATGCAGCCATCATGGACTTTCGGAGGGAATGATCAATGCATTGTGAAGTACACGAAAATGTACATGAATCGTCTAGAGGTGCAAAAAGCTCTTCATGCAAACGTTACTCGAATTCCTCATCCTTGGATGCCTTGCAGGTTTGTCCAATCTATATAGGGTATATTTAGTACAAGTGACTTTTGCCACTCTATCTTACCTAACGACGGAAAATTAATGCAAGTTGATAATTCTTTCAATTATCAAATACATTGCCGACTTTTTATACTTTCCATGACAACATTAATTATCTTTGGCACTTATGAGATGCATACGCTCTGTGAGATCAACATCAAGCGAGTTTTATAGTCGTATCGGATTGACCTTACCATCGACTTTTATAACTATGTTATTTATTAGGAATAGTCTACGATACCAAAAAAAAAATTATAAATCACCACAAAAAACCCATAAAAGTTATAAATTACTTATAAAAGTTGTGATTTTTTTTTTATAAAATGACCTATAAAAATTATAAAATCACCCATTATAGTTGACAATTTGGAGATATGAGACCNCCACGAAAAAATTGTAACGACGCTCTTATGAGTGCCATATCGGAGTTTGGAGACATCAATCCTTATGGTATTTACGGCAGTCCTTGTTTAGATCTCGGGACCACACTTCATCACAACTTAAGATATCCTTTGGTAAGATCTCGCAACTTTTCCAATATCCAACCATTTAATTTGATTTTGATTGATTGATTGATATTTCTATCATACCTCTATGAAAATTATTGTGCCATGGTGCAAAAGTATCATTGAAATATGTTCCATATTTCTTAAATATTTATGAAAGTAATGTTACACTGATCAAATTTTGAGACTAAATTTAGATTTCAAATAACATGACAGTTGATTATTTGAAGCTCTTATTGGGGCTCAAATGACATGACACCAATCAAAGAAGACTAAATCAACTGTCATGTTATTTGAATTCAAAAGTTAGTCAGTCTAATATTACTGATATTCATGTGGTACTACTTACTATGTTTTTGGGTAATGCAGCCATCATGGACTTTCGGAGGGAATGATCAATGCATTGTGAAGTACACGAAAACGTACATGAATCGTCTAGAGGTGCAAAAAGCTCTTCATGCAAACGTTACTCGAATTCCTCATCCTTGGATGCCTTGCAGGTTTGTCCAATCTATATAGGGTATATTTAGTACAAGTGACTTTTGCCACTCTATCTTACCTAACGACGGAAAATTAATGCAAGTTGATAATTCTTTCAATTATCAAATACATTGCCGACTTTTTATACTTTTCATGACAACATTAATTATCTTTGGCACTTATGAGATGCATACGCTCTGTGAGATCAACATCAAGTGAGTTTTATAGTCGTATCGGATTGACCTTACCATCGACTTTTATAACTATGTTATTTACTAGGAATAGTCTACGATACCGAAAAAAAAATTATAAATCACCACAAAAAACTCATAAAAGTTATAAATTACTTATAAAAGTTGTGATTTTTTTTATAAAATGACCTATAAAAATTATAAAATCACCCATTAAAGTTGACAATTTGGAGATATGAGACCGATTTTTTTATTTTTATTTTTATTTTTGGTTACCGTAGTCTTCTCCTATTTATTAAATGTAGTGATTTCATTTCGATGTGAAATCCAAATGGTTTGTTGTATAGTGTTAAACACATCTCCATTCTTGTGCAGCGATGTTATAAGGAGTAGTTGGAGTGATTCTCCCAGATCAATGCTTCCTATCTTTAAAGAACTCATTGCAGATGGCCTCAGGATATGGGTCTATAGGTAATTTCACTCTCCTTTTTTTGGTTCTTTGACTTTTTGCGCTTTCTGACGAAGTCAAAGAAGGCTTGGATTGTAAAAAGGATTTAGGGTCGGGTTGGTTCATGGGAAAAGGGTGGACTAATGGGTGGCATTGGACCAAAAATAATCCGGAGTCTCACATAACCAATGTTTGTTTCATTTTAAGGCAAAGGGATTAAATAATCGAGCTATTCTCGGTCCAATATGAATAGTAAATTTTATCCCATGTTTGCAGGTTTAAATAAACTCACATGTGGGTGTTGGGTTTCAAAGTCATCCACGTTTATTTCATTGGGATTAGGATTTAAATTACCAATAAAAAATAAGTTGGTGGAAGGTTATTAAAATCAAAAGATAATGTCAAAATTGCAATAAAAGACATCTGATTTATGTCACATCGTGTGGTCAACATATTTTTGCTATTGTAGTTCAACAACTTCCAAATATAATATTCCTATCTAAACCTATCACAAAAGTCCAATTGGACGGCGGTTTTTTTTTCTTTTTGGTTCAATGGTAAGGAATTTTTAGATTAGCTTACGCGCATTATGTCTGATTCCTCCGGTCCGGTCAAATGCATGTTATCCACACAAGAATTAGGGTATTTGTAAGAGATAAATCTATCATGGTTTGAATCTAAAAAATTGTCAAGTTTTAAATTTAATACGTCTGATTTTACAACTCATCTTTATTATCAATTGAACTACCCTTTCNCATCTGATTTATGTCACATCGTGTGGTCAACATATTTTTGCTATTGTAGTTCAACAATTTCCAAATATAATATTCCTATCTAAACCTATCACAAAAGTCCAATTGGACGGCGGTTTTTTTTTCTTTTTGGTTCAACGGTAAGGAATTTTTAGATTAGCTTACGCGCATTATGTCTGATTCCTCCGGTCCGGTCAAATGCATGTTATCCACACAAGAATTAGAGTGTTTGTAAAAGATAAATCTATCATGGTTTGAATCTAAAAAATTGTCAAGTTTTAAATTTAATACGTCTGATTTTACAACTCATCTCTATTATCAATTGAACTACCTTTTTGAGTTTATTAGATGTGCTTGAATTGGTTTATCTAACCTAACAATCCGATCCATAATAATAAAACTCACGAAACAATTCCTTAAGGTTTAGGGTTTCGGGTCTAGGCCAATGGTCAAGACTCAATAAGCTGTCACAAATTCTCAACAGACTTGCTGGAAATCCTGAAAATTAATTAACCTTTTGCACAAGAAAATAAAATCCAACCACCAGTTTGTTCATCAATTATCTGATTGAAGTGCATTTTGTCGATAGTGGTGACACTGATGCTGTTTTGCCTCTCACTGCTACACGATATTCCATCAAAGCTCTAAACCTCAGGACCACTACAGATTGGCATGCCTGGTATGACAATCAACAGGTCAGTTCTCTTCTCACCATTCATTGTAATAAATATCCATCAATTTTGTCTGCCTTCTCTGCTGGGGGGGGACATATGGGGTTGTTTTTTTGGATTTTTTTTTTTTGGGGGGTGGGGGGTGTTAAATGGGTTAGTGGAAAGCCAGCCCCCTATTGTAGTTTTGGATGTCTTCTAGGGCTAATCACCCTTTGTGCCCCAAAAGATGTTTTTATTTTTAATTTATACCCTCAAACATTAAAAATTTTAATTAATGTCATGAATTGATAGCAATGTGGATCGTTTTCTGTCATAAATTGAAGCATGTGAGGTGCAAGTGGTTTGGACATAAAGATGAGACATACCTATCATTATAGATCTTCGTCTGTGATTAATTTGCACTGTTTTGCATATCAAAAATAGGGTTGCATTAATCAGATAAAAACTAACATTATCATGTGCAATTCACATGATTCACCGACAGTCTATAAATTTACATATACACATAAGTCAATTTTTGAAACAATTGCAACTCACGTATTTCAATTTATGACAAAAAATTGAATCAGAGTTTGGATCAGATCTTCATTACTACTAATTCATAACATTAAGAATGCNTATACACATAAGTCAATTTTTGAAACAATTGCAACTCACGTATTTCAATTTATGACAGAAAATTGAATCAGAGTTTGGATCAGATCTTCATTACTACTAATTCATAACATTAAGAATGTAAATTAAATTTTTTAATGTTTGAAAATTTAAATTGAAAACTGAAGTATCTTTTGGAGTGCAAAGTAACTGAAGTTCTCATGGATGGTAATATTGTTCTTGGCTGTGATATAGGTTGGTGGGTGGAGCCAAGTGTATGACGGTCTGACCTATGTGACAGTGAGGGGAGCAGGGCATGAAGTTCCACTAGGTCGCCCTCGGCTTGCACTGACTTTGTTTAGACATTTTTTGAAGAATGAAACTTTGCCAGTTTCAGCAAAATAAAAGTACTTGCGAAGGACATTTTATATTTTGTATGTACTCTTTAATTATGATCCCCTGACCCAAAAAAAAGAAAGAAAGAGCCTTTCCAATGTTGAGTTTCTTAATTTGCTCACTCAACAACTTCAATTAATTAATCGAAAAAAAAATTATGTACCATATCTCTAAAATTTATTATTTTAATAGGTATTTGTATAATTTTTGTGGGTTATATTACAATCAAAAAAATTATCACTTTTATAGATAATTTATCCTTTTGTGAGTATTTTTACCACTGTTGTAGTAATTATTTTTACCACTTTTTTTCGATACAAAAAAATTATTATTTTTGTGAGTGTTTTTACCACTGTTGTAGTAATAATTTTTACGACTTTTTTTGGTACAACAACAATGATAAGAATAACCACAATAATAATTTTTTTTAAAAAAAATCACCAGTTTTATAAACGAGTAAATCCAACACAACATGATTAATAAACGAATTAGGTGTATGTAAAGTCAATGAAAAATAATACATGATATTGACTCGTTTATATACCGATTATATATTATTTATTCGATATAACACGATTCGTTAGACAAGAATTAACAAACGAATTAAGTATAAATCACCTAAACTTGCGGGTGTGAGGTATAACTTAAACTGAAACAAAACTATTTGAGAATAAAGTGGTCCATAATGTGAAATTTTTAAAGGTAAGTATAGAAAAACAAGTAGCAACTAAATGACTAGTCATTTAAAATTTTAGTCAATTTTTAACCGGCACTTAAATATTTAAGTGATGTAAGTTTTGACTATTAAGTGCACTTAATTAAAACTGTGAAATGTTTTCAATATTAAATGTTTTAACAGTCAACAAAGATTGGTTATGATGATGCACAAAAGTGGGTTTATACAAAATTAATCAATGGATAAAATAAAAAGGGTTCAACATATGTAAACACAAAGATTGTGTGGATTCGATTTGGGTTACCTACTCTAGTGGAAAGTGCTACAGTGACCAGAGAATCTTATTGCTTAATAGTGTTGTATATTGAGATGTGTGTGATGCCCCCCATNCTACTCTAGTGGAAAGTGCTACAGTGACCAGAGAATCTTATTGCTTAATAGTGTTGTGTATTGAGATGTGTGTGATACCCCCCAAATATAGGCGAAACTTACAATTTATTGGGGAGTGCAGTCTTCATGGTGCTCCAGAGCGGGCTTTGATGGAGGCACCATCGCGGAAAGTTCTGATTAAGGCATCACCACCCTTGTGACGGGAGTGGGTGGCTCCGTGATTTTGGCGTAATAGACGAGGTGGTTGATGTTTGCGATGCGTACCCTAATTTTCTTCTTAAAATGGAGATTTCATGTACGTTACTAGAAAACTGGGGGCTTTGTCCTTGTTGGCTTTTATTTCTGATCTGGGCTTGGGTGCACCTTTGACCTAGACTTGGTTTATATTTTTAAACTAGGTCTCTGAGCTGAGCTTAGTCTGGGCAGGGCCTGTCATTTGCCCCCAAGCCCTGAGCCCCATGGGATTTAGGGGAGAGGACATCACTAAGAAGTCTTGTCTTAGTCCTCTTTAAGCAAGTGAACTCTGATGAGGAGAGATAGACACGAAGGGGCTATAGAGGAGGAGTTGTGGGTGGCTCACGAGAAAACAACACCTCTTGAGTCTAAGTTTATTAAAACTGAGGCTGCTTGAGTGAAAGCAGAGGCAAACTTAGGTCGAGCTTTTAGCGACTTGTGAGAAAACCGTTAAGCTGGAGACTAAGGTTGCTTGTGTGAGAGAAAAGTCAGAGTGAGGCCGAGCTTTTGGCGACTCGCGAGAGAATCGTTAAGTTGGATACTAAGGCTGCTTGTGTGTAAGCAGAGGCAGAGTTAGGCCGAATTTTTGATGACTTTTAAGAGAGCTAACAAGCTGGAAACAGAGGTTGCTTGTGTGAAAGACGAGGCAAAGTTAGGAATAGCTTTTGGCGATTTGCAAGAGAGCCGCTAAGTTAGAGACTAAAGCTGCTTATGTGTGAGTAGAGACAAAGTTAGGTCAAGCTTCTGGTGACTTATGAGAGAGCTGCTAAGTTGAAAATTGAGGCTGCTTGTGTCAGAATAGAAGCAAAGTTAAATCGAGCTTCCGAATGGCGAGAGAGCCACTAAGTTAAAGACTGAGATTGTTTGCATGTGAGCAGGGACAGAGTTAGGCCAAACTTTTGGCGACTCATGAGAAAGCCACCAAGCTAGAGACCGAGGCTACTTACGTGTGAGTAAAGACAGAGTTAGGCTGAGTTTTTGGCAATTCAGGAAAGTTGCTAAGCTAGAGACTGAGACTATTTGCGTGAGAGTAGAGGTAGAGTTAGGTCGAGTTTTTGGAGACTCGAGAGACTTTCTCCCATGGGAAGGAAAGAAGGAGGGAGATGATAGTGAGGGCAGTTAGAGGGCACAAATAGGATAAAGCCAGTGGAGCATGTACGTCAGGTGAGGGGAGACGAGGGCGCCTGATGAGCTAAGAGGGGTGACGCTAGGTGCCAGGGGCACTACTGGACGATCTGGGCATGCGATGCGGGTGGTGCCAAGGCGAGTGAGGATATAGGCGCTACGGCGAGGGCGCCTGATATGCCAGCGAGGGAGCCTGATGTTCCAGCAGGGGTGATGTCGGGAGCTAGGGGCACTATTAAATGAGTTGGGCATGCGATGTGGAGTGGCGCCAAAGCGGGCGGTGCGCCCAGGCCAGCGAAGAGGCGAAGGCAAGGCGTGCAGGTGCACGGGGTGCTATGCATTACTGGGTTGGGCATTCGGTGTCACGGGGTTGGGCGCTGGGCTACGAGGGCGCGTAGGAGGGCGCAAGGTGCATGGACATTGGGTGCTGGCTATTGGCACTGGACGCTTGGCTGGGCATTGGCGCATTGCACTAGGCGTCTGGCAAATGGTTGGCGTTGGGCGCAGGTGAAGTATTAGAAAAGTATGAAAAAGTGGCAAAATTTTGAACGACCTTAACTTTGCACCCAATTGTCCGTTTGAGGCAAAGAAAATTTCGAATCTAGGCATTTTTTTCTAGATCTACTACCTACAATGGTTTGGGCACTTAATTTTCCTAAAAAATACTTGTTTCCACTAAATTTGAATTTTAATTACATATTAGTGAAGAAGTAGAATTTTCAAGTGATATATTTCATTCGTGAAAAAGGACAACTTTTATTTTGAATGAATGAAATCATAGTTCTCAAGGTGAATATTATTTCTAGTGCCATTAGATGCTAAGATTGGTAGGATTGTTATTCCTTTCTATGTGAGGACTTAGCTTGCTTGACTTTGGCGACATCCTCAGTATCCATATATTTTTAGGCTTTTGAAAGTAATTATAGCATGTTCTTTTGTGAGTGCTTCAAAACTAAAAACCTAAGACTAGATGAGCATAGGCCTTCTGTGAAACGGGTGAGGTAACTCCTTAGAATTTGTCATTGGGCTCTTCAATTTGCAGGACCGCCGCGTTAAAATGAGTGAGGTAACTCCTTAGACTTTCATTCTGGTTCTGCTTGATGCTGAGTNACGGGTGAGGTAACTCCTTAGAATTTGTCATTGGGCTCTTCAATTTGCAGGACCGCCTCGTTAAAATGAGTGAGGTAACTCCTTAGACTTTCATTCTGGTTCTGCTTGATGCTGAGTAGATAGGTGGAAAACTTCTGGTGTCAGTGTCCCCTAATGAAGTGTGAGATGATGAACTNACCATCACAGGAAGCCCTGATTAAGGTGTCACCCTTGTGACGGAAGTGGGTGGCTCCGTGATGTTGACATTTGATCTTTGAGAAATACTTGTGAAAACTTTGGACTGTGAAAACTTTGTCTTTTTGAGGTCAAGAATTCAAGTTCCCTTCTCNATTCTGGTTCTGCTTGATGCTGAGTAGATAGGTGGAAAACTTCTGGTGTCAGTGTCCCCTAATGAAGTGTGAGATGATGAACTCGTTTAGTTTAGTAAAAGATTTAATGGAAGTCGGGATAAACTTGGTGAACCACTGGCGAATAGATCCCTTGAGGATGGTAGGGAAAACCATACACATGATCTCGNTAGGTGGAAAACTTCTGGTGTCAGTGTCCCCTAATGAAGTGTGAGATGATGAACTCGTTTAGTTTAGTAAAAGATTTAATGGAAGTCGGGATAAACTTGGTGAACCACTGACGAATAGATCCCTTGAGGATGGTAGGGAAAGCCATACACATGATCTCATCTCGTATGTTGTGTAGTTGTGGATCTTTGGAGTCATCTAAAACTTCCACGATTGGCATCTTGAACTTTGGGGGGAGAGGGGTAGTTGTCCACATTAGTGACAAAGGCGAGTCAGTACATCTCACAAGGTACTTGACTGTTTCAGGCCTTTGCGCCTTCATGGCATTGAAGACGTCGCTGAGTTGGTTCTACACTTGTTTGATTTTTTCATTCTAGTGATTGGAAATGCCTTTTAAATAGTCATTGTAGTTGCTCTCATGGTCCGCATAATGGTTTTTTCCCTTTGTCTTTTAGAATAGAAGGGTTACTAGCATGGGGGGATGGAATCGGCACGTGAAGAGAAGGAGCTGGGCTGCCTGGGTGCTAAGGAGGGATGCACTGGCGTTGGGAGGCGCCCTGGAGCTACAAATGGGTGCCTTGGGCGGAGTGCCTGGGGTGTTTTCCCTCCTAGGGGCTGGGGCATGACTCCTTGAGCATGTTCGACGAGCATTAACTGGAGGATCTGATAGTTTTGGTTCACCAACAGCTGCATTGTCTCCAATAATTGTTGTCTGACTATAGTGTTTGTCGCAACGATGGGGTTTGCTAGCAGGGGGACCTCATCGTGATGTGGTGCATCATTGTCTTTCCCTTGTTGATTCATGGATCTAGTTGTAAAAAGTGGAAATAGAGTAGGAAGAAGTAGAAAGACAGTAGGGTGAAAACTTAGTCGTTCCAATAGACGGTGTCAAGCTGGTGATTCACAAAAGTGGTTTATGAAAAATCAATCAAGGATGAAGTAAAGAGAGCTCAACACAAGCAAACACAAAGATTAGGTGGTTCTTGTCTGGGTGACCTACTCCTCTGGGAATGTTTATGGTGAACGGAGAATCTTATTACTCAAGAGTGTAGTGTACTAAGATGTATGTGATGTTTCCCATGTGTAGGTGAGACTTACAATTTAAAGGGGAGTGCAGTTTTCATAGTGCCCGAAAATGGGCTTTAATGGAGGCACCATCACAGGAAGCCCTGATTAAGGTGTCACCCTTGTGACGGAAGTGGGTGGCTCCGTGATGTTGACATTTGATCTTTGAGAAATACTTGTGAAAACTTTGGACTGTGAAAACTTTGTCTTTTTGAGGTCAAGAATTCAAGTTCCCTTCTCCCTTCCCCTTCCCCTTCCCATTCCCATTCCCAAAAAAAAAAGAGATAAAGATCTCATGTGCGTCACTCGTTTACTAGGCTTTTCAAGAGGATGGGCTTTGACCTTGCTGGCTTGTATTTCTGATTTGGACTTGACTGCACATGAGACTTGAACCTAATCTATATTTTTAAACTGAGCCTCTAAACTGGGCCGGTCTGAGTCGGGTTCGTCAAGTCCATGGTAGGTGCCTTTCATGGACATATACATCTCCAAGTCTTACCAATCTCCACCCTTGTAGGCAGGTTTTCAAAATATTACATGACACGGTCATGATGTAATATTAGAAAGTTTGAGTATTTTTTAAGTCCTTTGTTTCGTAAAGGAGTGGATTCGACGCAACACCATTAATAAACGAATTATATATGAGTGAAATCAATCAAAAAAATATACAAAATAATTTATTTATATGCCGGTTACATTTGATTTATACATGATACGAATTCGATTTGACATNACCATCACAGGAAGCCCTGATTAAGGTGTCACCCTTGTGACGGAAGTGGGTGGCTCCATGATGTTGACATTTGATCTTTGAGAATTACTTGTGAAAACTTTGGACTGTGAAAACTTTGTCTTTTTGAGGTCAAGAATTCAAGTTCCCCTCTTNCGCCTTCATGGCATTGAAGACGTCGCTGAGTTGGTTCTACACTTGTTTGATTTTTTCATTCTAGTGATTGGAAATGCCTTTTAAATAGTCATTGTAGTTGCTCTCATGGCCCGCATAATGGTTTTTCCCTTTGTCTTTTAGAATAGAAGGGTTACTAGCATGGGGGGATGGAATCGGCACGTGAAGAGAAGGAGCTGGGCTGCCTGGGTGCTAAGGAGGGATGCACTGGCGTTGGGAGGCGCCCTGGAGCTACAAATGGGTGCCTTGGGCGGAGTGCCTGGGGTGTTTTCCCTCCTAGGGGCTGGGGCATGACTCCTTGAGCATGTTCGACGAGCATTAACTGGAGGATCTGATAGTTTTGGTTCACCAACAGCTGCATTGTCTCCAATAATTGTTGTCTGACTATAGTGTTTGTCGCAACGATGGGGTTTGCTAGCAGGGGGGACCTCATCGTGATGTGGTGCATCATTGTCTTTCCCTTGTTGATTCATGGATCTAGTTGTAAAAAGTGGAAATAGAGTAGGAAGAAGTAGAAAGACAGTAGGGTGAAAACTTAGTCGTTCCAATAGACGGTGTCAAGCTGGTGATTCACAAAAGTGGTTTATGAAAAATCAATCAAGGATGAAGTAAAGAGAGCTCAACACAAGCAAACACAAAGATTAGGTGGTTCTTGTCTGGGTGACCTACTCCTCTGGGAATGTTTATGGTGAACGGAGAATCTTATTACTCAAGAGTGTAGTGTACTGAGATGTATGTGATGTTTCCCATGTGTAGGTGAGACTTACAATTTAAAGGGGAGTGCAGTTTTCATAGTGCCCGAAAATGGGCTTTAATGGAGGCACCATCACAGGAAGCCCTGATTAAGGTGTCACCCTTGTGACGGAAGTGGGTGGCTCCATGATGTTGACATTTGATCTTTGAGAATTACTTGTGAAAACTTTGGACTGTGAAAACTTTGTCTTTTTGAGGTCAAGAATTCAAGTTCCCCTCTTCCTTCCCCTTCCCCTTCCCATTCCCATTCCCAAAAAAAAAAGAGATAAAGATCTCATGTGCGTCACTCGTTTACTAGGCTTTTCAAGAGGATGGGCTTTGACCTTGCTGGCTTGTATTTCTGATTTGGACTTGACTGCACATGAGACTTGAACCTAATCTATATTTTTAAACTGAGCCTCTAAACTGGGCCGGTCTGAGTCGGGTTCGTCAAGTCCATGGTAGGTGCCTTTCATGGACATATACATCTCCAAGTCTTACCAATCTCCACCCTTGTAGGCAGGTTTTCAAAATATTACATGACACGGTCATGATGTAATATTAGAAAGTTTGAGTATTTTTTAAGTCCATTGTTTCGTAAAGGAGTGGATCCGACGCAACACCATTAATAAACGAATTATATATGAGTGAAATCAATCAAAAAAATATACAAAATGATTTATTTATATGCCGGTTACATTTGATTTATACATGATACGAATTCGATTTGACACGACTTGTTTAATATGAATTAATAAACGAATCGGGTAAAAGTAGAGTATTTTTTGATACAAACTCATTAAAATCTGATATAAACGCGTGATGGGACTTTTCTGAAATACTCCAAGATGAAGACACGTGTCCTCGACGTCACTAAAAATCCTGTTAACTGAGATCACGTACCATCGGCTTACAAC